CACTACTTTGACTTTTAACATTAAAAATGTTTACTTTGAGTGTGAGTGTTTTTTTATTGGTTAAGTGGTCCTTGGTATGAAAAGGTTTGAGAAACACTGTGTTAAAGGACCCTGACCGTGGCCAGGAACAACAGTCAGTAGCCCATTATACTGTATTTTATTGCTGTCTAGATTTTTACAAACAGCAAAACAACATTTTTTGGAGTTAATGTTTTATTGTTTGCGTGTGTTTATGAATTAGGTGAAGGGCCGGACCATGCAGCATCTACACTCACTACTTTGACTTTTAACTTTAAAAATGTTTACTTTGATAATTGGCATTAGCCTAATTATCATCGTCAGGTAGCTGTGATGAAGTGTTTCCCACAGACGCACATGTATTGACTCACAGGGTCCCATCGGTTATGATCTCGTCCTGTATTGAGAGCCTGTTTTATTGGCAAATCATGACACAGCAGCTTTTAGGGATTATGAAAGTATTTTTCCCGCTTGGCACCGATGCCTTGTTTTCACAGGAAAGTGAGCGGGGCAGTAATTACACCAGGAAGTGATGTAGAGCTGCTCTCATCTGTAGGCTGGGGCTTCCCACAAGGATTTAAATTAAAAAAAAAATGTAACTAATTGTTAGTAGATGAAGAGAACCCAGTGGCAAGCCATGACTTTTATACCTAGGCCCTCTGACCCCCCCCCCCCCCTCCCCCCTCGAAAAAAAAGAAGAGTTATTACGTCAGCGGAATATCAAAACAGCGGCCCGGGGTGCAAAACGCATCAATGACAGCAACCCTCTACCACACAAAACAACACCATTTATATAAACACCTATCATGACAGGGCACCCACAGACAAGTAACAATTACAAATGAATTAAGTCGGCACGGCGGCACACACATTGAAAATGACTTACGGCTACAGGCATCGAAAAATGCTTTCAACGCTTCGCCCATTCATTTGAATGGGGTGACGTAGAAGATTTTTAAACTTCGCCGAACTGCATTGTGGGGAGCATGGCATGGCTTTGCAAGCATCACGAGCATCTATCGGCATCAAAAGTTAAACAATGTTCAACTTTTGAGGCTCGATGCTTGGCATCAACCAATCAAATCCTGTGTATGCAAATCTGACAGTACAAGCGCTAGCCAATCAAACCGCGTGTATTTCTGGGAGAGACTACGCAGGTCATTTCCTCATATTCCAAAAAATGGAGGGAAAATTCATTATAGCGGTAGTGAATCACCCGGTGCTGTATGATCAGTCTCTGTTCATCTACCGGGATACAAACCGGAGGAGCGAGGCATGGAGGGAGGTGGCAGAGACAGTGGGTGAAACTGGTAGGTTTTCGCCTGTTTGGGGATTTTATATCCAGTTTACTTCGTTTTAACATTGCTATTGCTTTGTATAACGGGGGCGGGCGGGAGATTCCTGATTGGTTGTTGGTCGCCTTGGGCGTGAGAAATCGCCAAGCCTCACGGCCCGTCTACACTAGGCGTCGAAAAAGCTTGAAGCTGGGCGTGTCTGAGGCTTGGCGATTTTTTGCGAGCAACGCGACCAACAACCAATCACATGAATCTCCCGCCCCCGACATACAAAGCAATAGCAATGTTAAAACGAAGTAAACTGGATATAAAATCCCCAAACAGGCGAAAACCTACCAGTTTCACCCACTGTCTCTGCCACCTCCCTCCATGCCTCGCTCCTCCGGTTTGTATCCCGGTAGATGAACAGAGACTGATCATACAGCACCGGGTGATTCACTACCGCTATAATGAATTTTCCCTCCATTTTTTTGAATATGAGGAAATGACCTGCGTAGTCTCTCCCAGCATACACGCGGTTTGATTGGCTAGCTTGTACTGGCAGATTTGCACAAACGGGATTTGATTGGCTGACGCCAGCTTCGAGCAAGCATCGAGCCTCAAAAGTTGAACATTGTTCAACTTTTGACGCCGATAGACGCTCGCGATGCTTGCAACGCCTTGCCATGCTACCCACAATGCAGTTCGGCGAAGTTTGAAAATATCCTACGTCACCCCATTCAAATGAATGGGCGAAGCGTTGAAAGCATTTTTTGACGCCTGTAGTGTAGACGGGCCGTCAGACACGCCCAGCTTCAAGATTTGTTTATGCCTGTAGTGTAGACGGGCCGTTAGGCCTACCTTTGATGATCAAATCACTGAAACACAAAGTCCATCCTCCTGTCCTTTTGGATGAAGCACTTGCGGGTCATTCAGCTGATCCTTTGCCACTCCAGTTTATCATTGTAACTCAATCTTGAAAATGACTCGGTTAATAATTTCGCAACGATGTCATCACTATCACTGAAGTGAGCCATCATGAACGAACTTATGCTAATCATAAATCTATCGATCATAAATCTATCATTTAGATTTATGATTCAAAAATAATAAAAGTAGGGTAGACATGTGGATATTATCCGGCTGAACAAAACGTGCATTTATCTAACAGGTTCGTTTTCCACAGACCTTATTTCGGGCTATTTTCCAAAATCCTATGGAGAAATCTCACTGCTTTCTGTCGAGGGAATCCGAGCGCAGCTTACTTCCGGGTTTTAGGACGCGTCACTGCACCACTTGCATAGACCTCACAGCGGGCGGAACTTGTCATAAAGTCCGCGAAAATAAAGCCCGCCCATTTAGAGGGAAGATATGATTGGTCAATTGTACTGTCATTTGACATTACTCTCGTTGAGTTACTATAGCTGGCCCTCTGTGAATGTAGAGAGGGACCAACAAGCCCTCCCGTCTTCACATAACTCGCAGAGACGGCATTTAACCCTTCACATTCCAACAGAAACTGAACAGGCAGATTCGAAGGATTTATTTCTTTGAAATATTATTTTAAATACAATTAAATCAAGTTATTTTGGTAAAACTAATGAAAAATGTAACAACAACAAAATATTTTAAAAACAAATATGTAATTTTTTTTTACATTTTTTTAACGTTTTCAAATATTATTTTTTAGAATATCTTAGGCCCTCACAGGGCCCTGACGGCTCGCCACTGAGAGAACCCCAATCTTGATCAGTACATACAAATATACTATCGTATGAGGATAGGCCACAGATGGTTTGGAGATCTGCATTCCCAAACCATAGCATTTGTGTAGTTTGTGCGCAGCAGCGAGCGGAACACATTGAAACTGAAGAAATCTCTGCTCAGACTTTTGCAGCACACTGTGTGACGTTTTGGAAGAGAAAGCAAAGGGAAAGTCCGTCTGTGTGTTTATATGCTGTCTGTATATATGTATGCACACATTCTCTCCTCACCCCAGTGCCTTTAAAGTCTGGGTCATTAAATAGCGAGCAATTTTTTTTTAGGTATAATGTATTATGCCCTACACAAGCAAAAAATGCTTACGGAAACATTTCAATTCTCCCTGATAAATTGTATTTTTGCTTTAAAATCATGGAAAGGAAGTGAATGGGATGTGAGATATGAAGCTGCGGCCCTCATATCAACAATCAGCCCCCACCAACACAAACACATCCACCTCTCACACTGATACTGTGCCATACTGGTTGACAGTGGAGTCTGACTGCTCTTCTTCTTTTCCCTGCCTTTCTTTCCCTCTGATTTCCTCTCCTGGGATTTTTTTCTTTTGTTTTTAAGGGTGGGGTGGGAGAAAGATTTGGCGGCTTTGGAGTGAAGCAGGGCAGCATATGCATTCCAAGAGTCTCCCCCAAAGGAAATGAAAATAAGGTTTCTGGGCCTAGTCTGTCACTTGACTCATAGGTGAAAAAAGAGAAACATGAGCATGATGATGTAGTATTATGAAGTGTATGGGAGGGGATTTTTTGGACTGTGACAAGAGAAATATGAAGAAGGACCTTTGCATTTGGCTCAGTGAACGAGAAATACCTTGTATACGAAGTTTTGGGCTTAATTAGTATCATATGATGCTTCACATTCACTTTATTTAAAGATAGGGTATGTAAGTTTGAGAAACCGGCTCGAGATCGCAGAATTTGAAAATACACGACCGGAGAAAATCTGCCACTTCCTTACAGAGCCCCTCCTCAAACACACACGAACGCGCACATGACCAATGAGGGCACGAGATAAGTCTGTGCACAGATGGAAGGCTGACAGGCAGGTACATCCAGTTATTTTAGCCGGGCCGGCTCAGATGATTGGTCATGCTTTTTACAGTACTACGGCTTCCACAGATGACATTTTTTTATATATTTTTTAAGATATTCATTGCTATCGGGATGTTAAGAGCATTCCATGGAATATAACAAGTGTATCTCAAGCCTGTTTCTAAAACTTACATACCCTACCTTTAAGGAAAGTTTGATTTAAGATTCACAGTGCTGGCCAAGAGAACTGGACCATCTCATTTATTTGATTATGTAATGTATGTAATGTAACCCTAACCCAGAAAAAAGGTGACATAAAATACAGCCCTAAACAACACAACACCACAGCACTATATAACCATGGTAAAGCACACTATCACTTGAAAACACATGAACTAAATGAAGGCTGGGGCGAGAGCACTGCTTAGAGGCGCCAAATCATTTGGAGCATCACTTCAGTTTATTTAGACTTACCTACGTTTTAATTCCGAAAACTGTCCCAAAGCATACAAAATATATAGACACCATCAGTGGAAGATGCAGTGACGGATGGAGGACTTATTAAGATGTTTCCATTTGTATCTAAATGTTTGATAACTGTTTACTTAAAAAACTCAAGGACAAACTTTAATTCTGCTGCCAAAACCTTAGCAACACAAACAGGGGGCATATGACCTGAGGTTTATGAAGATGTAATCTGTTTGCATGACAAATAGAAATAGAATAAATGAGTAGAGTAAAACATATTTAAATTAGTTAAGACCATTTCTAAAATGTTAATTATTTGCTTGTGAAATGTTGTGTGGGAGTAAATGATGAAAGCTGTCAGTGTCATTTTAATTTGATATGGTTAATTCTGGAACTTCCCTCTAATCAATGGACGCTTCTGTTCTCTCTGCAGCCTCCAAACACCGCCCCCCCCCCCTCTGCCCAGCTCCTCTCTACCAGAAGGCTACTATGAGGAAGCAGTTCCTTTAAGTCCTGGAAAAGCTCCCGAATACATCACAGCCAGTGAGTGGAACACTGATTTACAATACACATCATTAATACCTACCATTTACTCATAGCCATACGTACACTAGGTAATGGACAAACTACAAAACAAGCATTTACATATTTTTTTATCTTTGCTGGTAATTTAATTAAAGGCAGTTAAAGGCAGAATATGAAAAAGAATGAGCTATTTCCTTGTGCCTTCTGCCCCTTCCTTTCAGACTATGACTCGGACGCCATGAGCAGCTCTTATGAGTCGTATGATGAGGAAGAGGAGGATGGAAAGGGCCAGAAGATGCGTCACCAGTGGCCATCTGCAGAGGCGTCCATGGATCTGGTGAAGGACGCTCGGATCTGTGCATTCCTGCTGCGCAAGAAGCGCTTTGGACAGTGGACCAAACTGCTCTGTGTCATCAAAGAGAACAAACTGCTGGTAAGGGACTCCTCTGTTCATATTAGCCAAGCGAGGCACACTATCTACAGGTGATCTAGGTACAAATGTGTGAATGTATGCAAATAGCGTAACAGTTATTCTCGAAATAATGACTGTGAAAATATTAGAGCATCATGTTTGCCCAATTTCTCTGCCTTCAGTGTTACAAGTCCTCCAAAGACCAGACCCCCCAGATGGAGCTGACTCTGTATGGGTGTAGCATCACTCACATTCCGAAAGATGGCAAAAAGAAGAAGCATGAACTTAAGATAGTCCACCAGGGGGCGGATGCGCTGGTTCTGGCCGTGCAGAGCAAGGAGCAGGCAGAGGAGTGGCTCAAGGTAAACACAATCAACCCCTTAACCAGTTACATATGTCATATGTTTCTTACCAGATTGCACCAATGCAGGAACACAGCAGTCCTACTGACCTCTACTGAACAAACTTAGTTTGCTAATGTAGATCATGTGATACTGTACAATTAAAGCTCCAGGACAAACTAGTAACTAGTTACTATCTCTGCAACAATAACAGGATAGATTCTGCACAAGAAGTAGCATAAGCTAGCTAGCTTCGCCAAATCACTGCTCATGAACTTTGCAGTTTTTGATGATTGACATATCTATTAATAAGGAAACGTTTTTTGTATTTAGATTATCAAAAAAAAAGAAACTTTAATATTTGTATCATGTTTTACTAAAGCAATTTAAGCATTATGTCTTTAGAATATAGAATTGTTAAAAAGTTAGGAGGCCCAAAATAATTGAACTCTTTTAAAGGATGACCTAAAACACAGCCTTGTGAGGCTGATCAGCTGTCAAACAGAATGAGGGATGCTGTACAGTGTCAGTGTGGCTCACCACAGGTCATCGGAGCAGAGTTCACACAGGGGGATGGTTCCTGGAATCAGCTCTAATTTGGATGTTGTTCTCAGGAAGGTAAAATTAGATCTGTAGCTCCCATTTAATTATTTCCAAGAATAAAGGGTCTCGCTCTCATGAGAATAGCTTTGCTGTTGTTCTACAGGTTCAGCCTTTTCCTGATTGTGTGTAGGTGGTATGTTGTAAACAGGTCAAACATTCTTTCTCTGCGTACCTCATCCCATCGCCTCTTCAACTCTCTGATCTTCCCTTCTGGCTGCTCGACAAGTCAGCAAAACAAAACAATCGTCCCAACATCTGAAAGGCTGTGTTTTTGCTTTTCAACCCCTGCTTCCATTTTTTTTTTGTGGTACCAGCACCTCTACGCTCTTTTTTTGTTTCGATCACAGGCAAGAAAACTGGCCTCATCTGTTCTTTCGATTTAAATGAAACCCCCAGCCCCCTCTTCCTCCTCACCTTTGCTCTTCTACCCTTTCCTGAAAATCTCCTGGAAATCCTTATTTTGTAGTCCTTGACTGTGTATTGTGAGCTATTTTTAGATCCCTCCACATCCACTGGTGCAAAGGTATTTTTGTAATCATTTGTGCGTGCTAGCCTCTGCCAACTCAGTCCTCAGTTTGACCACACTTTGAGGCACACCTTTTTCATTACTCAAAGGGTCTTTAAGAAAATAATAAGTGTAGCACAGGTCTTCCTATCAGACCATCAATACAAACACCAGTCTCGTCATTGGCAGGGTTTGCGTTTTTCTTGTTTTCATTGAAACAAATGTGTGTTTATGGGTGTCAAGAAACAAGAACTCCAACCATTTGTGTTTTGTTTCTTTGACTGAATTCATGGTAATTTATTTATAATGGTTATTTATTAACTGAGGCAGTTAACAACAGTCCCTGTTGTGGCAGAGGTTTCTCCAGGCAGTTACAACCAGAGCCATGAAAATATACAAATCTCTACAGCAGCATCAAGAAACTGATCCTCTTCGCATATTTAGAAACGAAATCTCATTGGCTGGTGTCAATTTCTGACAACGTGATTCGTTCAGATGCGTCACGTGGTGTGCTAAAACACTTCCTGGTTAGCTTTCCGCTAGAAATTGAAATCTCAAAACGGCGAAAAAAACGTTCACAGAGAAGACGACAACAATTGTCACTTGCACGAAGCAAGGTTATACAAAAAACAAATGACCCCGAACATGAAATACCTTCATGGAGTGCGTCGATGCGCAAGCTGTCATTCAAAGAACAGAGGGTTTAGCTAGCGCCTCACTGCAATCTTTAAAGGTCCTTTTCTCAAAATGAGTTGTTTCACCTACTCTGAGTTCGAAATTTCAACTTCAGTAGCACGTACATACACCAAACCTTCCAGTTATATTCCTATCAATATTATGAAGGCTTTCACTGAAGGGTTTGTTCATATATCATTCATAGCCTGAATTATACAACATTGTATACCTAAAAACATGGTGAAAATTGATATTTTAGGGCTGTTGACAGTATTTTCTGATTTATGGAGTGATAAAAAGAGATATCCAATATCCCTTTTGTAAAAGCCTTAGATACTAATATGACTACAAAATGAAACAAGAATTTTGAACCTGGCTTTATCCAAAGTTCAGATTTCGATTCCTGAAATGTGTTAAAATATGTGCATATTTAATGAAATAATGGATAATTTGCATATTTAAACATGCTATTTTAGAAAACTTGTAATACAAAAAACAATTGCCTTATTGTAAGTAATTAACTGGAGAAATGTCTAGCTGATACCTTTAAGTTAAAAAAATTACCCTATTCACCTTAAGACCCCTTTGTGCTTTCACGATTGGTTGCTGATACAAAGGAAATGACCATATTTGGATCCGATGAGATTGTGCAGGAGAGACGGAGCTTTCCAACAATATCTCTAATGACATGGTGCAAACAGCGGTCGCGGTACATGTTACGTTAGAATGCTAACTTTTGGTGAATTTAGGAGAAATATACAGACGCAAATAGACAAACTATAGTAAAATGAACACTTAAATGTGTATTTTGTACGTTTTCCTTCCAAAAGCCTGAAAGAAAACATGTTATGGAATCAAAATAGCACAACATCTCAAAATTGACCAGTGCATGAAAAACAATGTTTTTGCCTGCGGTGTCTCGCCTTTAACAAACAATTTATGCGGCTCGTATCGCTGACGGCACCGCCTTTTTTCTTTTTTTTTTAAGCGGCCCCCTCCCCACTTTTGGCAGCACCCCCTGAGCAAAATTACTTCCCGCGGCTATGGATAAAATCAAAGTGAATGGCCTGCTGCTGCTGAATGCATGGGGCAAGTGACTGGAATTTTTTTTTAAAGTTATTATATCGTTTCAGATAATAATAATGATAATTCATTCTATTTAGGGGCGCCTTTCAAAGCACCCAAGGACACCTTACAATTCATAACATATTCCAAGGAAAGGTTTTAAGACAGTACAAAGAATGCAGTCCGGGTGATGTTTTTTATGTGGGGTGCAGATGAGAGAGCTGTCCAGAATGATACCAAGATGTCGTGTTTGAGTTCTTGATAAGCCATTAAACAGTCAAATAAGTGTCTCCTGTTCACCAAAACATACCCATCTATTATGGAAAAATAAAGTATTCCAAAAGTAATCTGCCACCGGTACCGGCGGGGATTGTTGTTAGCTTCTGATGCCAGAAGAAAAATCTGGCCCACCCTATTTTTTACAGACCCACCCTAAAGTACATTTCTGCCTACGCTACTGGCATGATGGGATATGAGAGGAGGGAGTTCTCCGTACATGTGGCCTGCATTACCCAGGCATGCTTTCCAGGCTAAATAAATTAGCTTCTTAATCAACATTCTGCTGGCCCAGATATGCTATACATGAAACGGGGGGTTACGTATTGTAACCCTAGTTATATAAACACAGGCAGAGCCCTCTACTGGACTCTATGGGTACTACTCTCTATCATGCTATGAGGGCATTCACCTACTGAGTTGCATAAACGTAGCCGGCCAATCGGGGCGAGCCTACCTGAATGCGCGCGCAGGCCCACAGTATATAAGGCGGCTACGCCTCCCGACTGTCATCCTACACCCTCTTCAGCGAGCGGCATAGGAAAGACAGGGCCCCCAGGTAGAGGGCTCCGCCTGTGTTTATATAACTAGGGTTACAATACGTAACCCCCCGTTATATATCACACAGGCTCCGCCCTCTACTGGACTCTATGGGTACAGTGGGTGGAGCCCCGATGTATAAACGCCCTGTCGTCCAACAACATCGACCCATCACACTGCCCCCGACTGGCCTTTGGTTAACAGCCACCGCACCCCCACTTTCTCCCATCGTGACCGTGGAGAAGTCGGGGCCGCAGCTTGGATAAGGCACACTCACACACTCACCTCGTGAAGTGTGCATGGAAAAAATTGTGTGGAAGACTGTATGGAGCTTACTGCACATCATGTTCCCCAGGTCCCTAAGGAGCATGGGAAAAACATAAGTGCACTCTATCCCAGGGGGGGATAGCCACCTACTGACCCACAGCCCCCCCCCCCCCCCCCTATCACCAGTCATGTGTTGCCCCGGCAAGCACAGACGACAAGAAGGAGCCAGACATGTCCAAGAGATACATCTTTATGAAGGGGCCTGGCGTAGACCAAGACGCCGCCGTGCATAGCCATAGCCCGCGTAGAGTGTGCACCGACCCCAGTGGGGAGGGCTCTCCCCGCCCGTCCATAGGCATCCTGTCAGGAGAGAGCTTTTCCAGCCACACCATCCCCAAAGCACACAAACAGCTGTTCAGTGCGCCTAATGGCAGCCGTGCGCTCTACATAACATGCCAGCGCACGCACGGGGCAGAGGAGGTGCAATTTAGCCTCCCTGGCCCCAATATTGGGTGGAAGATTAAAGACACCTATAGCCCTCGACCTGAATGAACTCCTTAGGCTCTTGGGAACAAAGGAGGGGTTCAGTCTGAGTGTCGCCCTGCTATGGTCACCCCGGATCAAAAAGCAACTTGGGTGCACCGACAGAGCACAGACACTCTCTTAGCCGAAGTCAAGGCAAGTAAAACGCTGTCTTCCATGACAGTGCTTTCAGGGAGGAGAGTTCCAGAGGCTCAAATGGTCCTGTCTTCTTGGGAACCAGGAAGTACATGGAATAGTGCCCCTTCTCCCTGTCCTGAGAGTGCACAACAGACACCACCTGTTTTTGCAACAGGGCCTGAATATCTGCCAAGAGGAAATCTCCTCTTGGGATGATAGATTTGTCTCTCTTATGCCCCTGAATGGAGGAGGGATGCTGGAAAACTGGAGTGAATAACCCAGTCTCAGTGTCCTGTCCATCCACTCTGTCAGTACACAGCTGAGCTTCCATTCCCCGTAACACTGTGTTAGGGGACATGCAATCAGCTGTGGAGCCGCAGCTAAGAAGCTGTGGTATTCTCTGGTGGCCCACTCCGCCGCCAAACCCTCCATAAAAGGAAGTTTGGCCCATGGGGGGCTGACACAGAAAGGGCCGATTTTCCACTGAGGTCCTTGAACGCACCGCGACACACTCTTGTGGGAGCGTGCGCTCCGCCATAATGCAGTTTCCACCCAGAGGGAAAAAACCATTAATCTGAGTTTTTATGCTAGGTGCGGTGCGTCTCCTAACAACAATATGCCGGTCATAATGCCCCTGCGCTCGCATATCGCTTTGATAGCACTTCCTGCGGTTTATCACACTCTCATGCGTGCGCCCGCTGGCTGCCTCCTTTACTGGAGTTACAACCGGGGTGGCGAGTGGGGAATCAGTACAGACAACATTATGGTGAAGTGCGGAATTGTGGAGAGGAATGACTCGTAGACAGGAATAAATGCAATCATCTTTATTAAAGGCATTTTTCACTGATACATCATAGAGGGAGGAGGCGGGATTCGCCCTCGCGTCCTGGGTGGAGAAAGCCATCTCCGCCGGGACACTTCCTCCCACCACCCTCATCTCCGGGAGGACGGTGCACCCCATCCCGAAGCCCTCTGTTGATGTGGAGCCGGGACAGAGGCTCGTCGGGTTGCTGGAATTGAACCTGCCTCGCAGAACCAGCCGAGGGAGCAGGAGAGGCAGCGTGAGCCGTGGGTGCTCATCACAGTCCTTCTTGGAGAGCGCCGTGAGTCCCAACCACACGTGGCATGATTCCACTGTGGCCAGGGACATCACACGGCCAGCTGCGGTGGCTACACCATGGACCAGATTATTCATCTGTCCTATGCAGCGGTCCAAATACTCCGGTCTTCTGGAGACGGGGAGGCGGTGGCTTCCTGCTGAGGGGTGATCAGCAAGACCCCTAACACGCCCAGATTATTGGCCGCCGCCACCAGCTGTGCCCCGAGCCGGAATATCTTATCAAGATATTCCGGCGTTTCACGGTCACGAGGCAGCGTTTTTTTCCCCTCCGCCCAACCAGCTGCCTGTAGGAGCAGATGGGCCGCCAGGCTCTCATCGAGGGGGGGCACAGCGGGACACGTCGTGTCCGTGTGGCCCTGAGCAATCCCGCCATGCCAGCCACCGGAGCCCTCGTTCTCAGAGGGTGCCGCCACGTCGCCTCCACACACTGCCAGATATCCGGCAACGGGGGCGAAACAAAAGCCGGCTGGGTTGGCTGAACCGGGCCATAAAACCCCTGACGGAGGCGGCTCACCGGTTTGGGTGGTAGCGTCCGGCAAGACATACTGCGCCTGGAAGTGTTCCAGGCGATGTTGGCGTCTGAGCCGCGGGAGCGCACGACAGGCACTGCAGGACGGAGAATGTTTGACGCCTTCCCCTGCTTGGTCGGACCCCAAACACTTGAAGCACAGGCGGTGGGGATCAGCGCCCGCAATTAAGCCAGGGCATGTAGGGCAAGGCCGAGTTTCAAGGAGTGGTGAGTCCATATTATTTTCCTATTCATCTTCTTTACGTTTAGCTTTCTTTTCAGTTGTTGCTGCTCACTGAAGAGAAAAAGGATGACAGTCGGGAGGCATAGCCGCCTTATATACTGTGGGCTTGCGCGCGCATTCAGGTAGGCTCACCCCGATTGGCCGGCTACGTATAGCATGATAGAGAGTAGTACCCATAGAGTCCAGTAGAGGGCGGAGCCTGTGTGATATATAACTCCTTCACTGGAGATTTATGCTAGTTAGAACTTGTGAGCAGTGCCTGATTAGCTCATGCTATATACCCTTGTGTTTTTCAGGTGATGAGAGAGGTGTGTGTTAATGGGGGCGTGGACTTGGATGGAACTGGATCTGGTTCACCAGTGCACAAACCTGAACTGGAAAAGGTAAACTAACCTATAAACAGATACGTTTTACCCCAATAAAGTAGGGATGTAACGATACCAAAAACTCACGGTACGATAATATTGCGATAAAAAGTCCACTGTACGATATTTATCGCGATATTGAAAAAATAAAGAAAAAAAATGTGAATTTTGTTTTTGTAATTTTTTTTAATTAATTGTTGTACTTGAATTGTTTTTCTTTAATATATCTGATTTTTACAGCATTTTAGTAGGATAGAAGTATTTTAAAGTGTCGACAATATAATAATCAGACCCTGCAATAGAATAAATCAAGTTTCACTTTAGTTTTTCAAGTAACTCAACTCTAACTCACTAACTCACTCACTCAGCATCATCAAGGTTATCTTTTAGGAATATGAGCATGTCCACATTTCCAGGTAGAAGCTGGGATGTTTGGGCGTTTACAATATCCACTGCTGTGGAAAAAACTTTCTTGCTTGGTACTGATGTTGCTGGGACAGAGAGATATGCTTTGGCCATGGGTAACAGCAATGGGTAAAACTGTTCATTGTCTCTCCACCACTTCAAAAACAATATAGTTTTTGCCTGTTATTGACAGGGCGAGATATATTGTTGGTACTTGTCAATGTCTCTAGGTATGTACATGTAGCCCTGTAAATACAATGTCCTTTATTGTTATCTGTTGTTTTATGTTCATGTTGTAACCTACTTGCTGCCATGTTGGACAGGTCTCCCTTGAAAAAGAGATTGATGATCTCAATGGGACCATCTGGTTGAATAAAGGTTTAAAAAAAAAAAATATATATATATTATAAAAAAAAACAAAAAAAATCGCGGTATATTTTGTCAGTCTCACAACGGTATTGAGACATTTATTTACCGCGATATTCGATATATCGTTGCATCCCTACAATAGAGTGCCACAGTGACGCATCCTAAAACCCGGAAGTAAACTCCTTCCGGCAATTTCTCCATAGGATTTTAGAAAATAGCTCGAAATAAGGTCTGTGGTTGACACACATTTAAGAGACGGATCACATTTTGTTCAGCTGGATAATATCCACATGTCTACCCTACTTTTATAATTTTCTAATCATAAATCTAGTCGCCAGAAGCAAAATGCTAATGTTATGCTATAAACGAACTACAAGCGAGTACAGCAGCTGGGTCGCACGAATTCAACATCACGCCAACTTAAGATCATTTCAACTGACTTTTGCGCGCTTGCATATTTTAACAAAGCTTTTCCTTTTAGCCACACTGAATTTAACTATAAGTAATGGCTGTGTCAATCAGCTGCGCCGGATTCATTTCAGAAGAGGGGGGGGCAAAAAGTGCGTCTGTATGTGACATACTTGCCAACCCTCCCGATTTTCGCGGGAGACTCCCGATTTCCTCCCGAGGTTATATTTATCCCGCATTTCTCGCAATCTCCCGATTTCTGACTAAATCTGATTTGTGAGTCACGACCCGTGTCATTCTAACATAACGCTCCAAATGTTACTGTTTCCACTCGGACTTCAATATAGCTACACCATTGTTTGGTTTCCATGGTAACACGTCTCTTTAGTAGCGTGCAACAGCCGGTGTTTCTCGTGAGTGTTTTCCCCGGGAAACAAACACAATACACACAAAGGCAAAAATACACAAACGCACACACACACACACACACACACACACACACACACACACACACACACACACACACACACACACACACACACACACGAGAGAGCTCCCCCCAGACCAGTAATCCAAACGAAAATATGTTCCCTCCGTTACTACTTTGATCATTTGCTCATCAGATCGATGGATATCCATCAAATCCAAATGTGGAGATGACAGCTTTGTAAATAGCCTAACGGAGTTAATAACTGGAACTTTTCACAGAGTGAGAAAAAACCACCTCTTTTATGAGAGGACGTTGGAAGTTCACTAGTGCGCAACCAGAGGTCGCGTTAACCGAATATTTTCCGTCTATGACGGATTTTTTTTAACAATGACAGACAAATCTGAAAGCAGTCCGTCATTTTGACAGATTAGAACAAACTCGGAACAGCGCGAAAGTTTCCCCGCAGCGAGGCTCCGGTGTTATGCCGTGTTATGCATGCCTTCCAAAAAGAAAATTATACCGTTTCCAAACCTAACTGTGCCGTACAAATCATTGAAATGTCTGTGAGTTTTGGCTTTACGCTGTGCACGCTCCCGCGAGGTGCAGCAACCATGCATAACACGGCGCATGTGAACTGTCCCTCCCCCCCCAGTTGACAGTTCACGAGCATGCTCCCCCCCCCCTCGTCAGAGTTGTGTAAAGGCCGACGGGTCATTCTGATCAGCGAAAAAGTCTAGCGCAACCTCTGTGCGCAACATACCTGCACCAGTTTATCTGAGAAGTGCCTCAGGTGAGATGGAATTAACTTTAGGATCACAAATTCTTTCAAACGAGTATTTGCTCTCTCGACATTAATCCCATTTTGTGCGATAAGCTTTGTAGCCTGTGTTTCGCTGTGTGTCAGTTGACCATGACAGAGGAATGGGGGAATGTTGACAGTGACTCCTTCAGGAAGAATATTCTGGATTAAGAATCCCTTGTCAGCCAATATCAGATCTCCAGGTTTGAAATGCTGAAGAACACCAGAATCCTGTACTATTTCTTTGTCACTTGTTGATTCTGGGTATAGTTTGCTGCAGTATGTGATCACAGCATTTGGTGCTACCCCGAGGAGTAGTTAGAAGGAGTGCATGCCACAGTAAGCAGAGTAGGTCTCTTTCTGGATATCCATTTGCTTGGGGATAGCTATTTTGATGTCCGTACAATCCACTATCATTCTGCAGTTTTGGATGTGCCGAAATGAAGAAGGCAAGCTGCTTCCTCCTCAGTCATTAGACACGTAGCTTCTTCCTCCATTCCTTCAATTAAAGTAGGAATGCTCTTCTACATGCTGTGCTTCAAATGAAACAGGCCTTTTTCTCTTTCTCAAAGGAAAATGACAGCTGCAGATGCGGGAACAGGCATTGGGCTTCCTATCAGCTCGTCTGTTGGGAAGATATCAAATATTAGTTTCATGGAAGTCACACCGTCACATATAAGAGCATTAAGACATACAGTACCATCTAAAGATATAACCTTGCACTTTGATAAGTCTCGTGAACATTTTCACTATTCTGAAATGTTTATAGATCAAAATTGAACTAAATAAATAAATGGTAGATTAATCCATATTGAAAATAGGTGTCAGTCAGCTGCTACACTAATTATAGTATATATATATAGATAAGATAGTACTTTATTGATCCCAATTTGGACGTGACGAGCACATGGGCCCATAGGGGCTGGAGGACTCTTTTGGCAACCATGGCAACGGGGGTCTTCTTCGCTGCTTTTGGTGTATTTTGTGGCGCCACATACAGGCCCGGCATATGTACTACTGCATCTCCAGCGCTTTCGAGCGCTCTCGTGTGAACGGAATACTTTTTTGATATCATATTCGGTTAGTTTGCGTTTCGTATGCGTTTGCGTGCAAATGGGGTCTCTCTCCTTGCCTGCGGGGCTGGGGCAGTTCAACGTACCTCCTGATTGGGGGGGGGGGGTGCGCCATATTTTATGGGCGCTGTACGCAATATAGGCGTGGTTCTGTTAAGATAAGATGATGTACTTTGTTGGTCCAAAATCGGGAAATAGTTTTGCTGCCCCCCATGGGTTGATGCACCCTTAGCATTCGCCTATACTGCCTATGCCAAGGGCCGGCCCTGCCCGGAGCGCACGGGAGCGTCCTGGTGTCCATGCCTACAGCGTACGCTGTCAGGCAGACCGTGGGAAATTCCGTGGTGCGGGGACGCTCTCTCCCAGGCGGAGGGAGCGATCAGCAGCCACCCAGCCGTTTGTACGGAGACTCAGACCTGTGTCACGCACACTGGTGCCTCAGTGGGACTTGGCTTTGGTGTTACGTGCACTGAGTAAAGCCCCATTTGAACCTTTAGATCAGGTTCCCCTTAAGGTTTTGTCAGCCAAAGTAGCATTACTTTTAGCGCTGACATCAGCAAAAAGGGTGAGTGATTTGTCTGCCCTCTCTGTGGCTCCGTTATGTCTTTTGTCAGTGTCCCCTGTTCGTTTATTCAATTTTATTTGAGGGATGTCTCCCATTCCTCTCTGACACACCCTGTACGGAGTGTGTCAGAAGTGTGACCTTCGTCTCCACTTGTTCACAGCGGCAGGGTTGTATTGTTCCCAGCCTTCGTCCCCTCATGGAAAATATTCGCGTCGGACCGAACCACGCCCCTTAGCTGTGATATAATGAGCATATACCACGGCCTGTCGTGAGCTATTGCTTAAATATATAATATATATAAAATAATGTATTATATTACATTATTTGCTCTGCCTTGGATTATTATCAGTTCTGGTAATAACTTCATAAATAACTATGTCTGAAAGCAGAAGTCTAGGGCAAATAATTGAAAGCAAATATTACACCAATTGTATTCTATATTATATTCTTTGCAAGCTCTGTGGGCCACATAAAATGAGGTCCCGCGGGCCTTGAGTTTGACACCCCTGCTCTAAAGGGTTTTATCATGTAAAATGTAATAAGACATCTGTGTGTCTTAGATACTTTCTTTTTTTTCACTTGGTACCTTCTTGTGCATTAATTTGTCTTTCTTCTTCCCTAACTGGCAGAAGGCATCTTATGACAAACCAAGTTCCGATGGTGAAGCAACTCATGAGAACGGACACAGCGACTGCAAGGACCAAGGTAAGATTCTGAGTCATCTGTAACATAAGTGAGTAAATAACATCCAGTTCATAAAAGTATGGAAATGTATTTGCACAGAAGATTTCTGGAAGAACTTCCCTGGGAAAGCACTCTCCCTGCATAGGAAATGACAAGATCTGGTTCATTGAAATTGAAAGGGGACTAACTGGGTGGTTAAAATAAGTAAAACATTTTTCAAAGATTCAAAGGTTTTATTGTCATATGCAATGACGAAGTATCCACAGCGTAGTCATGGCAATCAAAATCTTGAAATGAAAAGTCCCATGCTCCTCGAACAATGAAAAATAAATATGTATACGACATAAAACAATAAAACTATTTTTTTTAAACAAATACAATTAGTACAAGAGGAAACAGAGTAGAATACAAATAGTGCAAGATTATGTTGAAACACCATTGAACAAGTAATGCAGATGAATTAAACTATATAGTATACATGTTAAAAAAAAATACAGTAAGCTAAATAATGCAGAGAATGTTGACTAAGTACATGCAGGAGTCTATATACATGTAAATAGAATAAGATATATACAAGAACAGAATGTAAAATTAAATACGGTACAGTGGAATAAATACTGCTTTTAGAAATAAATAATATAATGTAATATAGGGTGTGTTACCACACAATTTAAATGATGTGGACCATCGCATTTTCAGAACGGAAATATCCAGACAAAGTTAGTAATTGAACCTTACATTGAAATTGCTTTGTCAAATTTGGGTGATCTTATAATATATATAAATTATATATATATTGTGTTGTTAACATACCGTAATACTTACAGTTAGGCTTTATGTCTTTGTTGCGGGTTCTTGAATTGTTTTTAATTTGGACCCATATCCTGATATATCCTGGCTTTTGGTTTTATTTACTGAGAGTTGCTGAACCAGAAACCAAAAACATGAGATATGGGTGAAATAACACAATTTTTTTCATCATTAAGATTAGGTAATTTTTCTAACATAATGTCAGAAACAGATTTCCCACTAGCAGTTCATTTTCCAAATCCAACTGGGGTTTTATGGAGTCAGCACAGAGCAGTGATTCATGGACTTGGCTGTGAAACTATGGAGAATATGAAATGGGATCAGCAACAATCTCCCATTAGAGCTTAATTTATAATCATATACAATTTGTTATTACATCTCCAGCGAGGTGTAGACCATTTTGTCCTGTTAAAAGTAGAAATGTAATACCATTATTCAGTATGTGGCAGTCGTTTTTCTGAGCCTCCCAGTGTACACTTGCTCCCAGATGAAGAAACGCGATATGGCTGCCCTTCTTTGCTTATTGTTTCAGCTAATGCCTTCAACTGGGAGTATCCATGAGCCAGTGAAAATTAAGTAGTGTTATTATTAGCTAATGCTAGTTAATAACTTTAATGCAGTGTTCACCTTGCCTTCCTAAATGAATAGCGAGATTTGTGGCATGATAGTTACATTTTGTAATACAGGCACACATTTGGCAGACTGTAAATCCAATGTTTAACACAGCAATGGGTGGGGTAGAAACACCTTGGCTTAATATGATGTATGATCTTTTATTGTTATCCATTAAATACAACAGAATTATCAGGGAAATCCCAATAGGCGCTTTCACACCGGAGTACTTTTCCCAGGAATAGTTCCGATAGTTACTGGGATTTTGCGTTAACACCAAAAAGATCTGGAACTAGAACTTTTGTTCGGGAACCTTTTCACCACTTTTCAGTCCCTGCTAGAGAGGTGGTACTTTCCTGGGGAGGAAAAGGTTCCAATTTCTGATTGGCTGGGCGAATTGCAAACCACGGCCCGTAAAACTCCGAAAGGTTTTGTGAAACCGCCATTTTATTTGCTCGCATTAGCATTATTAGCATTAGCCCAGCGCACCAACGGAGAGAGACTACCTTATGGCGACACCAAATAAAACATGGGAGCGGTGGAGTGATGAGGAGGTGTCGGCGCTTCTGGTGATTTACTCGGAAGGCTTCAGTAGAAGCTGCTGGGAAGACTCCCAGGAGCTTCTACTGAAGCCAGTCCCCAACTCCGGGGACATCTGGCCGGGGACTTCGGGTGGCAGTATACGCCATGAAGTTGTTTGCGGCCTGCCAGTAAACCCAAAGCAGAAGAAGAAGTGAAGTCAGCAGCTTCATTTGCGTAATCCTCCCTCAGGGACTTATTCCGGTGTGAACATGATCTACTAGATAGTTCCGGAACTAAATATTTCCGGGAAACTAAGTTCCGGGAACTATTCCTGGGAAAAGTACTTGGTGTGAAAGAGCCTAATAATACACTCCAGTGAGTTCCTGGACTTACCTCTTGGTCTTACTTCAGTTATTCCCTCACTGAGTACTGAACACTCTTTTCAGCTAAATTAGCCACATTCTTTCCATGGATGGTAACAAAAAGAGCAGATTTGCTGGAATCAAAATACCCTGATCAGAGTTTTCCTCCTCTTCGTCTCCTGAAGGGGAAACATAATGGTAATTGCTCTTTTAAAAAAAAGGTTACAATCTCTTTCACATCTGTGTGTCTGCTTTCCCCCTAAAGCCTGCATTGTGTGTGGACTGTGTTTTAATACTTTAGACTGTTTGAGTACATAGAGCTTCCTATCTAATTAAGTTGCCATGGTAGTTTTCAAACCATAATAGGGAGGGAAAAAACATTTAAAGCCGATCTTCGATTGACTTTACTTAGTTTTTTTGTATTCAGAAAGCATACAAAGTCTAGATTCCCTCTGGACACTCATTGTGAGCATTGGGGATGATGTCATCGGTGGAGGGGAACACATTTCAATCACATCTTTTGGCCAACACTTTTATTTTCTAACTTGGATCTTTGATCATAAGCCACGTTGAACCTTTTTCAGCCCACATTTTAGTAATGCCGTCATGACCGCAGCAAATCTGGATCAGCTCCGTTGTTCCCTCGTTTTTAGAGATGTGGGTAAGGAGGAAAAGAGAGAGGGTTGTATTTTCTGACACTTTATGAGTCTCCTTATGGTGCGTTCACAACGGACGTGATGCGAATATTCGCTTCGCTCTTATCGCATCACTCTAAACGCTCGAGTTTCACCGCGGCTGTCAGTTGTGTTTACTCGCATCATTCAAACAAGACGCGCTGGCTAGGGGGCTACAACTATAACAAAATGAACATATTTACATACATTTTATTGTAATACATGTTTCAAAATGATGCCGAAGTAACAACATACTGATAACGGTTAGTAAAAACCATGAATTAATGCTTTGACAAGTGTGCAGACAAGACGGCAGGCGAAAAACCTTTTAAAATGCGTGTTTTCTGAATGAAGATCAGATCGACCAAGCTAAGCTAACGTTGTAGCTGCTCCGTCCAAACTCACAACAACATCCTACAGACATAAATAAAGTAGCGACTGTATTCGCCATGACAAAGACAGTCTGTGGTTTGTACTTGTTTAACTTTTGTCCAGTTTCTGAACAGATATGAGGAGCTGTGAGCCTTGTGTGCTAACAGCTAACGGCTGATGTTTTGGTTTTCTGGTTCAACGTCAGTGACGGCAGGCTGAGATCCTCCCCGCTGATTGGCTACCGCGCGAACACCTCACGTAAATTTGACACTCTAGTTGAAAAAATTGAACTCGAGCGGTTGTCGCGGCCCCCTTCAATCGCCTCAATCGCGCCGCGGCATTCGCATCAACCTTTTCATGCGCGCCATCTCTGCATTGACTTTACATGTAATTGCGCCGCCCCCAAAAATTGCATCGCGTCCGGTGTGAACGCACCATTACACACCGGGGACACATATTTATGTATCAAATTCATCAAAAAGGGAATTTTGCATAATAGGTTACCTTTACTTAAGTAATAGTATAAAAGTGTTATCAGCCAAACATACTTAAAGTATAAAAAGTCAAAGTAATCAATGAGCAGAACAAATTACCTTTATGTGTGTATATAATTATATTTCTTAATGCAACATTTTTGTTAATATTTTTTGCATCAAGTAGCATTTTACTGTTGTAGACAAAGTTATGATAGACCTTTTGTGAAATATTTAAGAATTATAATTTTTAGAGATGCATTTTGTAAAAGTAGCTAAAGCTGTTAGAAATAATTACATTATTCCTTTTTAAATGTAGTAGAGTAGGACAATTGTTTGCATAAAATGGAAATTCTCATGTTAAGTACAAGTACCTCAAAATAATACTTAAGGACAATATCTACTTAGTTACCTCCCACCTCTGGCCAGCTGAAATCAACCCACTCAGACCAGTGGGGAAGCTACACCAGCAGACAAAGAGCCTTAGATCCCACAAGGATCTGATTCAAAAGGAATGCAACAGTTTGTCTCTCTCCTCTTTTCTTTTTTACTTACAGAATTGCAAAAGCACCCACACATAATTGAATCAACATTAATGTAAACACATCTCTCTCAGTAATTTCCCATGTTTCTGTTAGACCGCAGTGCACATTCAATATGCGGAGTACCTAAATAACAATGTTTTACAAATGTTCCTTCATCGGAAGTTGTTCTCTCTCTCTTAGGAAAAGGGAAGAAGAACGCAAAGACTGAGCAGAAGACTGGGACGGTGGGGAAGGGAGCAGGGAAGAAGATCACCAAAATTATCGGCCTGGGAAAGAAGAAGCCGTCCACAGACGAGCAGACATCTTCAGCAGAAGAAGACGTACCCGCATGCGGTAATATGTTCAAGCAGGAAATCCCAGTATCATTAGGACCTATATATAAGTGATATATTACAATGATATAACTTTACGGAAAATGTTTGTAATAGTTCAATCAAACGTGATTCATGACTCCCCGCCATGCCCCTGACAACAGTTTACTGATTTGTAATTACCACCTTGTGGATAAGTTTGTCATCAACCCTTTCCAGTATTCATCAGTTCATGAAATCTGTGTGAAATCTGCCTTTCTTCCTCTGACTTACCTCAAAGTAAAGTCAAAACAGCCTTAGGGGCTCCTGTCAAAATGTAAATATGTTGTATCTCTTTACACCAGGGGTGCCCACACTTTTTGGGCTGGTGAGCTACTTTTGAAATGACCAGCTCACCGAGGTCTACCAAACAAAAATAAAATCCCAAATTGCAAGGGTTGCTGAATAACACGTTTTATTTATACATGGGATAATAGGGCTGCAACAAACGACTAATTTGATAATCGATTAATCTATCGATTAATGAAACGACTAATCGACTATTCAGACTATTACTGTATGCCTTGCACAATTTCTCAAACGCTCTTGTTTAGCCATCAACTTTTAGATTTAGCTTGAGGTTGTTTTAGGCATGTGGAAACTAACAATGAAGACAATAAAGATGAATACTTGATTCAAAAATACATATATTATTAAATTAACAAATTGTTTACAAAACTAACATTGCTTTTTATTTAAATAAAATAAATAATATTTCACATCAAAATAAACAACAATGTTTTAACAAATCCTATTAAATAATGTGATGACAGAATAGCTGAAACTTTAACAAAATAAAGAGTAACTCAGTTTCCTCTAATCATTAACCCATGTTTGTATAATGTAGTTAACTCTGTGTGTTGCTGCTAGCATACATAATAAGACCTGACGTGGAAACGTTACTCGTGGATGGAGCTACAGAGCTACTAGAAAGACAGTCGAACCCGGTGCATTCCTCCGTCTGAATGTGGTGCACTTTTGCTAAATGTTTAGACACATTGCTCGTGTTACCGCCCTCACATGCTGAACTCTCTTGGCAAGGAGCATTGTCCTCCTCAAGACGGGTAACATTTAACCACACCTTGGAGCGCTACTCTCCGCCATCTCCTCCGTGTGTTGCTGCATGTAGCAGCCGCGTGTGTGTAAACTGCCCCGCCCCCTCGCACACAGACGGGGGAGAGAGAGATCTCGTCTCGATTGGAAAGATCGAAAATACACCGACATTTGTTTGTCTTTTTGCATGTTAGAAACGAGTTGGCGACACTAAGACTGCGAGATAATATTTGTGTAGCAATAATACACCTTTCTCTTTCTCAACTCGCTACTCGGAGGGAAGTCGCTGTCATATGCCTTGTGAACACTCCGATAATGCCTCTCCACGTTACCTTTCTTTGGCAGAGCGACGCTTGCTTTACAAATAAGGCAAATAACCTTTGAATGTGATATCACAAACAAATATTCTTCCTCCCATTCTTGGTGGAAGTGGTTTGTCTTTAGCTTCTTGCTCGGTCCCGCACTCATTTTGTTGTTTGTCTCTTGTTTGTCTCTTTAACTTAATTTGAGTTTTCCCGGCACTTGACTGATTTTGTATCGCTTTGCATTCTGGGTTAACAGACTGGAAAGCGATAGGTCGCTTTTTCTGTCAATCAAGTAAACTCCTGAATTAAGTGGCAGGGAGGCCAAGGAAGGAGGGATCAAAACCTGTTTTGTCTATTTTAACGGAACAGGATTTTTTTTTTTATGAATGACTCGCGATCTACCAGCATTGCCCCCGCGGTCGACCGGTCGCCCGCGGTCGACGTACTGGGCACCTCTGCTTTACACCTTAAAGGTGGGGTAGGTAAGTTTCAGAAACCGGCTCGAGTGCACTCAAATTTGAAAGTACATAGCCGAAAAGAATCCGCCCCTTCCTTCAGACTTCCTTACAGAGCACCTCCTCCAACACACATGAACGTGCAATGCACGCCCAATGAGGGCACGCCCAATAAGGGCACAAGATACATTTGTGCATGCACGAGATGGAAGGCTGACAGACAGGGCGGCAATCCAATCCGTTTAGCCGGGCCGGCTAAAAAGTCTATCTCGAGCCGGTTTCTGAAACTTACCTACCCCACCTTTAATACTATAAAGAATGTAAGATGTAAAAAATGACTTTAAATGACAACACATTCATGAAGATATTGTTAAAATCATGAACATTGTTGACTTTGTTGAACAAATCATGACTGTTATCTTTGCTCGTCAGGCTACCTAAACGTGTTGTCCAATAACCGTTGGAGAGAGCGTTGGTGCCGTCTAAAAGAAAACCAGCTGCTTCTCCATAAGGACCGTAACGACCTGAAGAGCCACATCGCCTCGCTGCCCCTCAGAGGCTGCGAGGTCAGTCCTGGCCTGGATCACAAACACCCATTTGCCTTCCGCCTGCTTCGTAATGGCCAGGAGGTGGCAGTACTGGAGGTGAGCTGCGACCTCCGAAGGGTCTGTTGGATAATGTTTTTCAGGAGATGTGTACTCGTGTGTCAAAGTAAGCTATTAGAACTCCACTGTCAGCCAATAGATGAAGCAGAAATGCCAGGGAATAAATTAATGGACTTGAGCACACAAACACTGCTTAGAAATGTTTTCCTACTTATTCTTGTTTTCTCTTTTATATGGTAAAACAAGTCCTCCACCAACCAGTGACTTGTGTCTGTGTATTTGAAGTTATGTGTATTTGAACTTCCTCCAGTTGTCATTTTGTTAGTTTTGATTCTATTTCCTCACATGCATGCTACCCTCTGCCTACAAATGTGTTCCCATTTATAATGTTCCTTGTAAAACCATAGCATTCTTAAGTAAAATCAAATGCTTTTGATTTCTTCTCAACTTGAACCCATACCTTTATCCTTTTTACTATAACTTTGTCCTTTCCATAAGGCCACTTCCTCTGAGGAAATGGGTCGATGGTTGGGGATCTTATTGGCTGAGACTGGCTCCACCACAGACCCAGCTACCCTGCACTACGACTACATCGACGTTGAGACCACCGCCAATGTCATCCAGCTGGCCAAGCAGTCCTTCTGGTATATGACAAACATGTTTTCTAGTGATTAAAACCCTGACAAGTTTTTATTGTTTTTATCATGAATATTACTTATATAGTATGGTGAACTTTGCTCTACGTCCTCATACACATATTTGCTCCTGATCCACGAGTATCATGGGAAATTAAGATCTATGGCTCATTTCCATATTGTGAGGTCCCAACACATTACAGCAATTATGATATAAACGTATATGACAAATATTGATTCCAGGAGTATTGCACACAGCTTCCAGGTGTGGCCTTTAATAATGAAGTGGGCGCCGGGCAGCACCATGGCAACGGGCGCCACCGGGGCCGGACAATAAGTCAGGTCGGAGTTATTCACCCAGCCAGGCCACTACCAGCTTTTGGGTTTTTTGTTGTTGTTTGCATCGTCAATATTTACAGCGTTGCTGCCCACACACTAACACACGGCTTAATTCAGATTTAAGAAGGTTCTTGTGCCTTAACCTGTTCTCAACATCTTGAAAGAAACAGCGTCTGAGGGCTTCTTAACATTTAACAAACTATGAATGTGTCATACCCACTTAACGGGAAGAAACTCAGCTACCTGACGATATGAACCATTTTTACCTCTGAATTAGCACTAAGTGTAATTCACGGTAATAATTCACGGTAAAAATATTTTATACTTCATCGGATCTGCACCAACTAGATAGCATATGAAAGCTGAGATTCCAATGGTATAAGTATCATCACTGTGCGACCAAAACTCGCGGCAGCGAAAGCCAGCAAAGACAACACACAACTTCACTTTACGTAGCCAAAACGGCAAATACGTCTTACCTTTGCTGTTTTCTGATCAAAAGTTGTGTTCAAGGGCATTAAAACGCAGATAAATGCTGCTGAAGGTTAATCCAATGTCTCTGTGTCCCTTTGAAATGATTACTGATAATTAATGCTGTCAAAATTATCGTGTTAACGGCGGTAATTAATTTTTTGAATTAATTGCATTAAAATATTTAACGCATTTAACGCATGTGCAGAATGGCCCGCCCCATACATCCCACCAGTGGCAGCGCCAGGGTATGGCTGGGGTAGGCTACACCCATACCAATAAATGGCTTAGCCCCACCATGAAAAATGATGTTAAAGTAAGCAAAATAAAGTCCGCCAACTCGCGCCGAGAATTGCACAGACAGCAGTTAGTAAGATTGATTTCAGTAGCCACTTGTCTGGAAATACCGAAGACCAGAAACGGTTTTTAAAACTTTTGTCACGTAGTGATCGTCTTCCCAATAGAACATCTTTGATAATGTCTTCTGGCCAATCAGAATCAAGATAACGGCGTGGTGTTGTTGCAGGAAGTCCCGACGGAGAATACTTTTGCTGTAGTACAGGTAACACATAACTGGTACGCAGGTTATGTGCGTAATCTGAAATGCGTACCGTCACTTGTGTCACAAAGCGCATTTGCGTACCGACGTACTTGTGAAGCTTTTCCAGAAGGCGGTTAGATCACCGGACGACAGAGTCGGTCTCCGTGTGCACAGACAGGGCTGCTGTTAACGTCGGTCTGTACAACGGAATTGTGCCAAAACTACGCCAACCGGCTGCGGAGGGAGACTCCCCCCCTTCACTGGAGAACTGCGCTAAAACAGCTGATCACAACGTTCACACTCTGTGGTCACGAAGTACTCCACTAGCGCCCCCCCCGTCGACTTTCCTGAAGTACTCCCCCGTTGATAGAAATCAACACGTAATGATTAAGACCCCACGGTTTGATGATTGATCTTTCATTTTGACACACAGAAAAATGTTACAATAAACATGTTAAATGGATATATCCGCCTTCTTTCATTTATCTTTCCATTCCCACAACAATATACATAAAAAAATGACATATTTTGGACATAGTTCGAATGGTGATTAATCATGATTAATTAATTTTTAAGCTGTGATTAATCTGATTAAAAATTGTAATCGTTTGACAGCCCTACTGATAATCCATCATCATATTTATGGCAAAAAGCCTAGTTTTCAGTTTTCGGAGCGTAACATAGCTTTCGGTTTGGGCAAACTGCGTGCGCATCACTCTCACTCCTCAATGGTAATGTTTAGATGGATTTAGGAACTTCCCCTCAATTATATTCCCCTCGATTCTAACTGTCTAACGGTTCAAAAGAGGTGTCAATCACCAAAATCGACCAATGGGTTCCAGAGATATGGCAAATACACCCAAATGACCCCAGAGGTGGGGTTTATTTTCTAAACCTCTCTAAAAAGGTCAAATTTCACTTGTTTTGCATCATTCTTGATACATGTTATAGTTTGGATTCCTAAAGCTTTTTGTCTCCGATCCCATCATTCAAGGTTGGTTTTCACTATAAGTTATGGTTGTTTTTTTGGACGGAAACTATAATTTACATTTACATGTTCAATCTGAATTTACTTAAAAATAAAAACATCTATATTGATTCTGAATTTTCTACATCCAACTCACAGGTGTATCATTGCTTTGAGAAAAAAGATTATAAATGTAACCCTTTTAGAAGTGAAGATATAGTCATTTGTTCTGGGCATGTCCTTTTTGAGCCTGAAATCTGAAAAACAGGCTTGGGGCTTAACAGGTTAATGATTATGTTCACTGTGTACATGATATTAGAAGTGACCACACAACCCATTGTTTAAAGACATTTCTAAAATGTATCGTTTCAATTATTTGTAACATCTACATGTACTGATGTCATCATTTATCTGGTTTTCAACCGTTCGTAGTGGTAGCCCTACTGTAGTTTTAATCTCACTAACATCAATAACTTTGCCCTGTAGCTGCCAGTTCCTCTGTGTTGCTGCTTGGTTCTGTCTGAACATCTCCCTGTGAAAGACCGGCACTGCTATTATTTCCACCTTTGCATAGGAAAAGATAGGGCAACAACTTATTTTTCAATTGACTCTGGTGTCACAATACATCATACTGACTTTATAATAGCCTATTAAAGTGTACTTCACTTGTGCCAATGTTGCTGCTTTTGTGGGAGATCCAGCACTGAAGTTAATTATATAACCATGACTTTATCACTTAGTTGCCCCTGAATTTGCACTCACATTGTGAAGAGTTGTAGTGCCACAGTTAGCTGCAGTCTAACGGTAGTATTACATATACTTGGCATAGCCTAACAGTCTCCAGTCACACAGGGCCTACCACTGAACTTACTTGATATTTAGACTGAGAAACTTTTTTGTTGACAGTCTGTACACATCAGGCTACAATATAGAAAATGAGAGCGCAAAAAATGTATTTGGCTAAATTGAGTTAATTAGTTGCCCAGTTTTGCCTGTAAACTATGTAATGTTATGTGGCTTACTCTGAATAAATCTGTGAGTTTAGGACAGGCTGCCTCCTCCTTGTGTGCTCTTTTCTTTTTTTCTCTCTCTGTGCCACCTTTCCTCCTTTTTTTTGCAGGATCCAAGACATTGTTGGTGTCAGTGTCAGTCAGTCAGTCCAGTCCACACTTTTACACTTAATTACCTTACCACTCTTGCAACAAACGGAGAGTGGAACAACCAATCACATCTTCATTATTCTCTGATAGCTGAAATGTGCCCACTCGCGAGTATGACAGCTGCCTGGGGCTGGTAGTTTTCACTGCGCCTCATACTGGTGCAACTTTATTTTGGAGCACTTTTATGACTTGCCGCACATCATGTCTGCGCTGAATAAAAACATGTTTTTTTTACTCCTGTGTGTTGACAGGCCACAGCATATTAGAAAGGCCTCCTGGACTAAATACATTGCAACGTTTATTTTGTCCTTACAGTTTTACAAGTAAGCGTGCTGTCTCTCCGAACCCGTACCTGGACAGCCCAGTCAACGGCTACGCCTGCCCCAGTGGCATGGCTCTGCACTATGATGACGTGCCCATCAACGGAATGGTAAGAACACACCTGCTCATGGGCGATACACACACAGAACAAATCAGCTAAAGCAGCTTAACCACAGTAAACCATCTAGTTGTTAATTACATTACATATCAAAGACAATGTACAAGTCAACGTAAGAGAGTGCAGGGAGGAGGTTTGTTGACACGACAAAAGCCTCACACTCTTTCCTGTATCACAATCTGATTAAACTCAGGTCACAGTGATCTATAATCACCACATTGCATTATGTTCTACAGCGCTCAATCACAGCAGCATGTTGGTATCTCAAGACAACCGGAAGAGATTTGTATAGGCCTGGATTTTGCCTGATCAATCCCTTGCTGGACAACATTCTCCCGCCATAAGGGAACATCTGAGGTTATACTTAGTGTAAAGATCTTAACAAATATATTGTTCAGCTGTATTTAGCTGAATAATGATCGTACAGCAGGTCAGTTTACATCAGTTGTTTGAAATTAAACAATTTACAAATCTGCCTTTGGCTCCTCAAAAACTAAAATGTTACCCAACTCAATGTTTTGAGAGTTCTTATTTCTGAGAATCTCGCAAACTGAGGGGGGGAGTTCAAAGTAAGCACGACTTATAGCATGAATCGCTACGGCCATGTTAATGGGAATTAAGCCAAGATGAAATAAACTGAATGATATATTACATGTTAAAACAACATTATACCGTACACAGACACTTATTATGGAAAAGTAGTGTAACTAACATTTGTACTGCTATCATCTCTTCCTTTCTTTCTCTCCTTTGACTTTTCTTTCTGTTGTGTATTTTGTCTCTTCCTCTTCCCTCTCTGCCTGCATGCTTGTCTAACTGAAGGACCCGGAGTCGCAGTACTCCAGTCCCAGCACAGGGGGGCGCCAGCTGAAAGAGGAGGTGCACTATGAAAACTCTGACCTATATGAGAACATGCCTTCTCCCAAGCTGACCTCTCGCTGTCTTCCCAAGCTGACCTCTCGCTGTCCTCCCAAGCTGAGCTCTGCTTCCACTTCTGCCAGTCCCTACAAAGCTCCTGTTTCTAAAGTTTCCTCTAAGTTCCTCACTGCTGATACTAAAACTAAAGCCACTACTCAGGTGACTAACACTCTCCTCATTACAACTCACACTTTTTCTGCTCTATACTCTTAGTATTTACCAGTCTATAATTCATATATATCATTTTGTTTTCAACATTACATAGTATCATTTAGTTAATAATCAGATCATTTTCAGTTATCGGTTTTTATGTTTCTCATGTGTTGATAACCTTCAGAAAATGGAGGTGAACGTGACCCGCTTAGCAACAATATTTCTCTCTATGACTTGGCAAAAAAGTGCAGGGCCTTTGATTCTGCTGAAGCACTGAGACTTGACATAATACAAGTAGTGATGCTGCATGAATTCCTATTTCGTTTTTTTTTTAAGTCTGACCTGCCAATTATGATTTTTACTGATAACATGTTTTTCTTCTTCTTCAAGCTTTTTTTTTTTGTTTTTACTTTTTCTTGATATAAGTGTCGTTTTTTAACACAAAACAACAATCACAAGTTATTTTCAAAGCTGCATTCAGTTGCTTTAAAATGTGTCTGATAAAGGAATATTTTACATATTTTCATTAAAATCACATACAGTCAAGAACAGCATATTGCTGATAGGCCTACCACCAAATCATAAATGGTCAAGTGAATGTTTCAGACAGAACCATAAACAGCTTCAGTCACCTACTGATATATTGTGTATCCCAAATGATGACATACTTTACTATTGGAAAAAAAGAAGTGTTTATTATTCCTGCATGAGCATGCTTAGCTCAATATACAAGGTATTAATGCTGGTCACTCACAAGCCCACACCTCTTTCCCATTAGTCTGTGAAGCACATTCCACCTCTGGGTATGTCCTGAAATCATGCAGAGGTGGAAGAACGACTTAGATCTTGTACTTCAGTAAAAGTACCAGAGTGTAGTAATACTCTGTTACAAGTAAAAGTCCTGTATTCAAAATGTTACTTAAGTAAAGTACAAAAGTATGAGCATCAAAATATAGCAATAGCAAAAGTAGTCATTGTCCAGATTGGTCCATTTCAGAATAATATATATGATATGTTTTATAATTATTTATCATTTTGATCAAGTGTTATCAAAGCTGGTAAAGATGCAGCTAGTTTTAATGACTTTATAATTTTATTTTATTTATTTAACCTTTATTTAACCAGATTGAGATAAAATCTAATTTCCAATGCTGACCTGGCCAAGAAGGCAGCAACGTTACACATTATTACACATAACACAGACATATAAAATACAGAGAACACAACTAAGTAAACAAAAAGACAAAAAGCAGTCACTACATTGTGCACATTTGGGACAGTAGGAAAGGTGCACTACATATTACTGCAAGAGCAGCTGGTGGTAAGGACCTCAGACAACTTCAATTTAAAACAGGCTATTGGGACAAGTGCCATTAGTTTGAGGCGTGATTGAAGGTCATTCCAAGATCAAGAACCATAATAAAAAAGTCTCCTTTTTCCAGCCTCAATCCGCACAGCAGGAACCTGGAACCGTATCCAGGCACTGGATCTGAGGTTGTAAGAGTCACAAACTGGAGCAAATCTGGCACATACAGTGGGGCAAAAACGTATTTAGTCAGCCACCAATTGTGCAAGTTCTCCCACTTAAAAAGATGAGAGAGGCCTGTAATTTTCATCCTAGGTACACTTCAACTATGAGAGACAGAATGGGGGGGAAAAATCCAGGAAATCACATTGTAGGATTTTTAATGAATTCATTAGTAAATTCCTCGGTAAAATAAGTATTTGGTCACCTACAAACAAACAAGATTCCTGGCTCTCACAGACCTGTAACTTCTTCTTTAAGAGCCTCCTCTGTCCTCCACTTGTTAACTGTATTAATGGTACCTGTTTGAACTCGTTATCAGTATAAAAGACACCTGTCCACAACCTCAAACAGTCACACTCCAAACTCCACTATGGCCAAGACCAAAGAGCTGTCAAAGGACACCAGAAACTAAATTGTAGACCTGCACCAGGCTGGGAAGACTGAATCTGCAATAGGTAAGCAGCTTGGTGTGAAGAAATCAACTGTGGGAGCAATTATTAGAAAATGGAAGACATACCAGACCACTGATAATCTCCCACGATCTGGGGCTCCACGCAAGATCTCACGGACCACTATTGCGGTAAGCATGTTGTAACTTCCGGTTGTTGGTATCCCGTGTGCCCTTTCTGTTGCTGATAGCTTATTATCTTAACTTAATCGATCGTTTTAAAACTCTTGATCACGGCAACTGCCTGACGTTATAATCACATGTTACTACAGCTTAAGCACTCACAACTCTCCTTCTCTTAGCGACTGTAACTCCACAGTTGCCTACACTCTTTTCGGGTTTGCTAACGGTAGCTACTTTAGCTTGATAGCTAGCCATGGCTCTTTCCCCACCCTCGGGTGCTATTTCCTGCTCTTCCTGTCTCATTTTTGGTTACTTCCCTACCTCCTTTACTGGTACCGATACATGTGTTAAATGTAGTATAGTTGTTAGGTTGGAGGCGGGAATCATAGCCATAAAAGCCCGGCTCCGCATCTTAGAAAGTAACTCAGCTACAGTAAAGCCCATGTTAGCCGGTGCGGACCGGCAAAAGGTAGCTCCTATTAGCCGTCCCCCGGCAACTCCCGAGTAGCAGGGAGACTGGGCATAACGCGAAACCCGCAGGTCCCCACCAACCCGTTCACGTATCTAACAGATATTCCCCACTCAGCGAGACACCCGCTGAGAAGCCAACTCTGGTTATTGGTATGAGACACGTGAATTTAGAGACCGAAGCCTCTACAGTCACATGCATTCCGGGGGCCAGAGCGGGCGACGTTGAGGCGCATCTTAAACGGCTGGCTAAAAATAAACGTAAATACAGTAGGATTGTTATTCACGTCGGTGGTAATGATGTTCGTATACGCCAATCAGAATGCACCAAACTTAATGTGGAGTCGGTGTGTAGTTATGCTAAAACAATGTCGGACACCGTAATCTTCTCTGGTCCCCTCCCCAATCTGATCAATGATGACATGTATAGCCGCATGTCATCATTTCAGCGCTGGTTGTCTTGGTGGTGCCCAGCAAACAATGTGGGCTTTGTGGACTTAATCCATGACAAACTGGAGTTGAGACCAGGAGGCGGAGTCGCAGTCTTACACGCTTCTCTGCGCTCTCTCCTAGGCAGTCATCCATAGGAATCCCGAACCCAATAAAATACCCAATATTAGCGGTGTGTGTGTCTGCCCAAGGACAATTTAAGGTAACACCTAATAGAGGTGTCATACATAATAACCTAATAAAAGTAAATGTAACAACTACTACAGTGCAACAAAACAGGAATATTAAATGTGGTCTCTTAAACATAAGATCTCTAGCATCTAAAGCAATATTGGTAAATGATTTAATATCAGATTATAATATTGATATATGCTGTCTCACTGAAACTTGGTTGAGACATGAAGAATATGTCAGCATAAATGAGGCCACTCCACCCAGCCATATCAATACTCATATTGCCCGAGGCATGGGCCGAGGAGGTGGAGTTGCAGCAATCTTTGACTCAAGTTTACTTATCAATACTAAACCAAAATTAAATTATACCTCCTTTGAAAGTCTCGTTTTTAGTCTTACGCATCCGACCTGGAAAACTTTGCAGCCAATCTTATTTGTTACAGTGTACCGTGCACCAGGTCCTTATTCAGAATTCTTATCAGAATTCTCTGAGTTTTTATCAACTTTGGTTCTTAAAACAGATAAAGTAATTATCGTAGGTGACTTTAATATTCATGTTGACGATGATAAAAATAGCCTTACTGTTGCATTTAACTCTATATTAGATTCTGTTGGTTTCTGTCAGAGTGTAAATAAACCAACCCACTGCTATAATCACACTCTCGACCTTGTTCTGACTGATGGTATTGAAATTGAGCAACTATTAGTCAAACCGCATAATCCTGCTTTATCCGACCATTTCTTAGTAACTTTTGAAGTACTGTTACTAGACTACAAAGCATTAGTCAAAAGCTCCTGCAGCAGAAACCTATCTGTTAGTGCTATAGCCAAATTTAAGGAAGAGATTCCACCAATACTTAACTCGATAGCATGTCTGCATGTAGGGGAGGAAACTTATACAAAATGTACACCACCCCAAATTGATCATGTTGTTGATAGTGCTACAGATGCGCTGCGAATAAAATTAGACTCTGTTGCTCCTTTGAAAAAGAAGAAAATAAAACAACATAGATTAGCTCCATGGCATAATGCCGAAACCCGCAAAATAAAGCAAAAGTCGAGACAACTTGAAAGGATATGGCGTTCCACTAAACTTGAAGAATCTCGTTTAATTTGGCATATTACTCTCAATGAATATAAGAAAGCACTGCGTAAAGCGAGAGCAGCCTACTACTCTTCATTAATAGATGAGAATAAGAATAATGCAAGATTTCTTTTCAGCACTGTAGCCAGGCTGACAGAGAGCCACAGCTCGATTGAGCCTTCTATTCCCATAGCACTCAGTAGTAATGATTTTATGTGCTTTTTTAATGATAAAATTGTTACTCTTAGAAACAAAATGAATGACCTCTTGCCTTTGACCAGTATAGTGCTATCAACAGCTCCCGGAAACGTAAGTTCTAATATTACACTAGATAGTAAACTAGAATGCTTTTCAGCCATAAACCTTGAACAATTAAATTCAATGATTATCTCTTCTAAACCATCAACGTGTATGTTAGACCCAATTCCAACTAAGCTGTTGAAGGAAGTTTTTCCATTAATTAATACTTATTTATTAAATATTATGAATATGTCTTTATTATCAGGCTATGTTCCACAATCATTCAAAGTAGCAGTGATAAAAACCGCTTCTTAAAAAGCACAACCTCGATCCAGAGGTTTTAGCCAACTATAGACCTATTTCTAATCTTCCGTTCCTCTCAAAGATTCTTGAGAAAGCAGTCGCAAAACAGTTGTGTGATTACTTAAAAAACAATGATTTATTTGAAGATTTTCAGTCTGGCTTTAGAACACATCATAGCACAGAGACAG